CTCGTAAGGTGTGGAAGTGCTCGCCCCATGACCCGCCATAGAAGCAAGACTTTGTTCCCACTGCTCAATCCGGGCAGCCATAGCACTCTCTGTGGTTGAAGTAGCACTCGCTACGGTGCGTTCAACTGCACTGGCACCTCTACCACCACGGCCAACTCCGCCTCGTGAAGCATCACCGCCACAACCTCTACCACTAGATGTCAACTCTTGATGATGGTCAAAGCATCAATCTTGAGGATGAGCTGCTCGACCACAATTGTCATACACAACCTTTAATGACTGGGATCTGGTTTGTGAACTCCGTCCTCCGGCCTCCTGGAGACAATTCCTATGTAGATTATGAGCTCCACATGTTTAACATGCTCGTCTCTGCTGTTGACTAGCAAACAACGGCACTAATGCATGTGCCCATGTCTCTCTAGGAGCTGACTGATGTCGTGTCTGCGCTCCACAACCCCCACTACTATCACCACCCGTGGGTCGAGATTGTGTTGTGCTCTACTGGACACGAGAGGTAGTGGTAGTGTCTCTTGCGAATGAAGATGTCACCACTCTTTCCTCCACTAGGTTACGCTCAATCTTCTCAGAAAGAGTAAACACATAGGCCAATGTGGGTGACGCATTGCTCAAAAGAATAGCATCATCAACTCTCCGCCGCAACTCTCTGTCTAGAATCATGTACCAATACTTAATAGCCTGTGCCTCAGTCACACCGTGAGTAGTTGAGATCAAACATTGCATACGAGTGTATGCCTCCCGAAGACTCTCATCAATCTTCCGCTCAAACTCCTGGAAACTCCTCAACTTCTCCGTCTTCACCCCCTGTTAGTTTTTGCTCAACCTCTTGAAGAACTCAGAATTGGGGCTAAACAAAGGTACGCCACTAGCATCTCCACTCATATTGTCATTAGACATACTAACAAGACCGCTGCTGGAACCTGCACCAGTTGCTGTACGAGTATCCTCGCTGATGCCACCACTCGCAGCTCCACTAGTACCAACACCACCCTGAGTAATAGACATTTCGTTTGGAGATCAATGACGACTTCACGTGTAAATCTCCACAGCATAGTCTCTCCCAAACTCGTGATAGTCATCCATGGGAGGCCTCTCTAGATGTTGAAACAATATCTTCCATGCAAAGAAGGGTGTAAACAACGTGAAAATACGCAAAAACTACATATCACATCACATATCGAACTACTTAATAAAATCATCCAACTCAATGGTGTCCACTGCAACAGAGTACGGCCGTGGACAGCATTTGAGTACTGCATCGGGTACCCATACCCGAAACCCGAACCAAATCCGCCCGAACCGATGAGTATGGGTCGGGTTTGGATCAAACTAGAAAGGTCTGGTTTGGTTTCGGGTTGGACTTTTCTTAATATGGTTTAGAAATAGGGTTACGTTTAAAAATGGAAATTAGGGTTACTCAGTACAAAGTTTGTGGAGTATTTTTTGACTTGACACAGTGCTAATCGCACTTGTTCTTCTCATCTGTTACTCTCGAGGTTTGTCATGGGTGACAATGACAATTGAGATGAGTCCCAAAGATATGCTCACGTTGAAGACAAAAATCACCGCAGATTTGCAGAAAGAAGACGGTCTCTATTATCGAGTGAAAAACCGTAAAGCTAGGGCAGGTGTCTGGACATCGTTTTCGTTTGTTGCGATCAAGGAGACTGCTGAACATCTGTGTTATAGTGATAATTCTTTTGTCTGCTGCAACAAATGTCTCATTGTATATCAATACAGATCAGCCAACGGAACCACCATCATGTCCAAACACTCATGTCCGCCTGCAGAGATCAATCAAGTCATGACAGCTACAGCAACGCGCCGCGATGCGACTACAAGTGAGAAGAAACTCATCACCGTGGCGTTGGCGAACATGTGCGCTGTTGACATGCGTCCATTTTATATTGTGAAGGGCACAGGGTTCAGGAACTATACACAGACCGTCCTCAACATTGGGGTCAACTCTAAGGTGGGCATGCTTGTGGACAATATTCTTCCTGATCCAACCACAATCAGTAGAAATGTGCAGATGCGATCTAATGCTGGAAGGGAGATACTCACTGCCGCTTTGAAGGCACATCTGGCGGAAGGAATTCAGATTGGCAGCACAACCAATATTTGGACCGATGACATCAACAAGGTATCTTTCCTATCAGTCACTGTGCATTTCATCGATGACGAGTTCACTCTACATCACCGCACGCTTGCATGCAGTCCATTTCCTGGGCCGCACCACGGATGTGACGTCTTGGAAAAATATGAGGGTGTTTTACAAAAATTTGGCATCAATAGATATGACCAGGTTACAGTTGTCACAGACCGAGGCTCAAATATGCACTCTGCAGATGGCATTCCTAGTCTCTATGGTTGGATACCGTGTTGTGATCACATCATTAGTACCATCCTAACAACGATTATCGACAAGAGAACTCGAATGGTTGAAGGTAAAAAATCTGCTCTCTTCTATGAGTTTTACCATCTAGCCCTTGAGTTGTTTGATACTATTGATCAGTTCAAAGCTCTCGTGACATATGTCAAACAAGCGAATCTGCAGGATGAGATTGCAAAGACCCTCAAGCAGGAAAATGCGACACGATGGAATTCTGCCCTCCGTTGCATGATCAGCGTTGACGAAGCACTCCCGGAGTTGACTGAGATATTACGTGCACGAGGTCGCGGATTGGTTTTCAAGGTCAATAAGATTGATCATGAGCTTCTCAAGGAGTTCATTGCTTTTTGTGCCCTTTCAGGAGGCCACCCTAGCTCTGGAGATGTTTGCGGAGCCTACGATACACCGTGTACTCTATTTTCGGCAGAATCTGCTAAAGCATTGCCAGGTTGTTGCGGCAGATATCACCACTAAGGAGAAAGATGGCACGATAACCACACTGAAGAAGGACTCTCCTGCATTCATCGCCTTGAAGCCAAAATTTGCGGAACTGATCAGGGAGAAGTTTATTTGGAGCGACATTCATGTCATTGCCGCCACACTCAATCCTAAAACCAAGTGTCGTTTAGACAAGTTTGGCATTGACTCTGTCGATATTGAACTTGGCCAAAAAAATCTAGAAAATATGATGAAAGATCATATGATTGGCTCTGGCATCGGCAAGAGGAGTGTGCCATCTCATAAAAGAAAGAAAGAGGACAGTCGACGTGTTGTGCGTCTTCTTGCTGAGTACAGTTCTGAGAGCGACAGCACCATCGAAGAAAAGCCTCTTGCCGATGACGTGCAGCTTGATTTTTCTTTGAGAACAGAACTCAACAACTATATTTGTCATAGGTGTAGTGACGATGAAAGCACACTTCTATCTAAATATGGAGTTTTATTTTGGTGGAAGATCCATCAAAACGAATTTCCTGTACTTTCTCGACTAGCTCGCTCTATGTTAACCATTCCAGCTTCTAGCGCAAAATCTGAGAGTAACTTCTCGGACGCAGGGAATACCATGAGCAAAAAATGCAACCTGTTGCATCCTTTGAAGCTCGACGATCTCATGTCTCTACGCTCAATGCTAATGTTGTCTACTGTCCAAATTAGAGTTCCACCTATCACCGAAAGCTAAATAGAGAACAGTTGGATTTTTCACATGTGTTCATTTTTTGGTTCCAGAGAAAACTGAAAGCTAAATAAAAAACGTATGTTTTTTTCCCCTCTGTTCATGTTTCGGTTCCCCCGAAAACTTAAAGGTAAATAAAAAAAAGTACGTTTTTTTCCCCTCTGTTCATGTTTCGGTTCCACCGAAAACTTAAAGCTAAATAAAAAAAGTATGTTTTTTTCCCCTCTGTTCATGTTTCGGTTCCACCGAAAACTTAAAGCTAAATAAAAAAAAGTATGTTTTTTCCCATCTATTCGGGTCCAATCGGGTATCCATTCAGAGGCGACTTGGGTTCGTTTCGAGTTTCGGTTTTGTCTCTTTGGATATGGGTCGGGTATTGGTACCACCAGCGCAGAATACGTGGGCATGGATCGGGTTCGGGTATGCTTTTGAGGTGTGATGCAGTACTCGGCCCTGCATGGACCTGTACATCACATCCATGTTCCAAATCAACAAGTTTGGAACACAAAACGATATCACCACAGAAGATTTGGTATCTGTAACACCTTTCTCCTTCGCAACAACTGAAGAGATAGGTATAGGTAGCCGATACCTCAATCCACTCCGCGTAAATACTCCACGGTCATCGACGGAACCATCAAACTGCTCTATTACGACCAAATCACCAACTGGCACCAATGCTAAATCTCCACCTAATCTAGTCTTCACACCAACCTACTCTAGCCCTACTAGCTATGGATATGAGCAATCTAACCTGTCATCACCGCAAGAAGACTCTCACGGGTCCATTGTTCATCACAACAATCTCACCGTGAGAGAAACAAAGATAGGCCGGCATCTGATCAAATCCAGCCTCACTATCGACAACACAGAGGAGTAAAACTACTCTAGAAACCAGCGTCAACCCATACACGGACGCGCATCAAGAAGCAAGACTGGAGAGTATTCAAACACAAGCTAACAGCTAGCAGCGACTCTCCAGCCTAAATGAAACACATCACAGAACAACACAACACATGAGACATCGCCTTGCATAGCGATCCCAAGTCGAAGTCCATCGCTCCCTACCATCCGCCTCCAGTTCCTGCAATGCTATCTCGTTCATCAAGTCGTCAAGATGATATCCACGCCAAGCTCTCCTGTACTTTGCCTCATACCTACACTTCACACTACAAGTAGGGGCAAGGAATGTAACGCAAGTCTATCTACCCTAATTGTTTTCCATACAAAAAGAAATAGAAATAAAATCAATGTTTTCACAATCAAGAAAACATAGTCAGTGAAACCAAGTGCAAATTCTCAGTCTCTTAAGAATACTCCTCTTCTCTCTTCTTATTTCTTTCAATCTTTTTTTTTCCTTTTTTTTCAACAAAGAAAAGGAAAGAGAATTTTTTTAACCCATAGAAAGAGTCCATCATACGCTGTCCAAAAACTGTGCAAAGTGCTTGAAATCACTTCTCAAAATCCTTGTTTACCCTACTCCCAACATATGCTATTCAAATATTTGTGTAGCCAAGGGAAAGCCTTGGGAATGGAAGTAATGAAGGAAAGAGAAGCCCAAGCTCCGAGCAATCTGAGTATATCAATGAAGTGTAAAATTATGAGAGCTCAATTGAGTACAAGCTCACGGAGAGCCGAGTCCGACATTCCCTACCCTCCTAATGGAGTTCACTTTGAAGAACACAATGGAGTTGCTCGAGCAGTATCTTTCCCTACACTCCACTTGAAATCAACCAGTATCATGCACCAAAATTGTGCGCTTGTGAGTGATTCACAATCTGCATCTGTAGTCCTGGACACCACCTCTCCACTCCACGTGGGAAAACCTCGTTCTCATCCCCTCACTCACATACAAAAATCTTGCATAAACATTCAACATCTCGTGTCGGTGCAGATCCCTCGAATATTTTTTGATAAGTCTAACTTGTATGAGCAACTTTGGATTTTCAGCTCGTTCTCTCTCTTAATCCCACAACTCCCGGCAGGCACATCGTGCTCGCTCATACTGTATAGTATGATAATCGGCGATACACGGCAATAAACTAAACCTCAACCTGCTGCGCTCAAAAGAGCAGCGGTCTCAGATAATCCACCCCGCGTGCTCAGATTCTCTCGGCCCCGCTTTCGCCCTCTCTTCCCGCTCGAAGCCCACAAACTCAGATGAACTGAAAGTGGCCGAGGATCAGAGTAAAGAGCAGGTGAAGGTGCAGGCCCTGCAGCTCCTCAATCAGAAGGAAGAAATTGATCAAGTTAAGAAGAATTTGAAGCACTAAAAGCTAAAGGAGAAGAAGAAGAAGGATAAGACCCCGTTCGATCTTAAAAAGCCCAAGAAGACCCCAACATCTTATTTGCTTTTCACAATGGAGAACAGGAAGTTAATCCGGCAAGAATGGCCTGGAGCAAGTTTCTCGGAGATCAACGCTACCATGGCCACAAGATGGCAGGAGTTGCCCGAAGACCGGAAGCAGGTTTGGGTTGAGAAAGCGGTAGCAGCTTGAGACCATAGAAGAGTATAACACCAAACAGTAAATGTCATCAACAGGGTAGATAGATGCAAAATACTTCCAACCTCTAGAAGGGGTGTAGGTAAATAGTTTGTAACGCAATCTTTGTTCAACCATCACCGTTGAACACGAAATATGTCGATTACGGCCTTAATAGTTCGAAGGCTTTCACTATATGCTTGAACCTAGCTGGAAACTCTCTACACAGAAGGCTCAACTCGAAAAACTGAAAGTTATTCGAGTTCACCTCAAATATACTCCCGATGGAGCGTTGACCCAACCTCAATGTTACCTGCGTCTCAACGTTACTCGCGGCCCAATGTCTATTGACTCAAACTCGAATCCAACGTGTATACATATGAAACCTCAAAGGTTTCGTCCAAAGAAGAATACACGCGAGAGACTTTAATGCTCAGATGAAAATACACCTATATGTGGAGAAGCATCATGGTATACATGTACCAAACATAGACAACCAATCTCAAATATAAATGATTACAAATGAGGCTATTCCTTAACGGGAATTAAAGTAATGTACTATAGATACTTCTAACATATCTAACTTCAATTTAAACCTAACATGAAAAAAAATACAATCATTGAGCGATCTTACTAAACATGCTGATATGATAAATAATACCCTCGGAATATATGTAACTCAAAAAACTGTTTGAGTTAGGGTTTTGGATAGCAACTTGTAAAATAAATGTGCCATGATTCTTTGAAATTCGAAGTGAATTTGATTCTTTTGTTATATATTTTGTTTGAGAATGCTCTATGCTTGGAAATATATTACTTTGATATATCTCTATCAATATGATAATCTATTGTATATCTATGTTAACTATGTGAAAAACTTTATACTTCAGTTGTTCTTAACAGAATTGAAAATTTTGATTTTTTTTCCCAACAGATTGTAGATAATTATTTAATTTCTATAATCGGCATGTTCAGAGTACGGTTCACCATAAATTATTTTGTTTTATTTTATTTTGTTATGATGTACTAATGAGGTCTTGAATTCAAAACTTGGAATATTAGACATGAAATGGTCTTCACTATCAAGAGCTGGTCTTTTATCGCTGTAGAACTTCAAATGAACATTCTTAGGTAAGTGCTAGATTACCTGAATAAAAACCCCCTGAAACCATATCAGACTGCACAGTTTCATGAGGCTTACCTCCTTGCTTACTTAAACCCATCTACACAATATAGTTTGAGCTCATCACTAGTTTTGAAACGGTGGTAGTCTAAACTAACCCAAGGTATCTTAGTTTCGAAGAAAAGGTTCTTTCCAAGCACGGCCTAATACTTGGTCCGACCTTTAGAGACATTAAGACGGAGATCATGTGCTACAACCTCCAATCTGTCAGCTTGAAAGCAGGCCACTTACTCAGTGCATTCTGCATCTTTCCATGTCTTTGAGCAATAATTGATAGTCTGAAAGCCTGTACTTGTGATATCAGTGACAAGATCCAGGTCTGACAATGGAAGCTACAAAGGAAAAGGCAAACATACGTGGAAACTAGCCAGTCACAACAATTTCACAAGTTCGCCCTATAAATCACCAAAGAGACATAGGCTGTAAATACCAGGAATAGTTTGTGGCGTTGTATATAAAAAAGGCTATTTTCTAAGGCAGCCTTGGAATTCCATACAGAAGTGGAACACAGCTCATCCTACCCACACAACTGTACAGATATTGAAATTCAACTCTACCTAGAGCAGCAGTATACTACACTTGTGTCCCTAACGAAGAAGGGCTGGCCAAAACAATGCACAATGATTATAAACAGGCTATCCACACAAAGTCAAAGTACTGGAGGTTGCTCGAAATCACTGGTGCTAAGAATCAGCAACTCTCGGGCAGAGGTTCTCCAGAATGATGAAAAGATAATTCCAGCTGCACCCTGCCATCCCCTAATCCATAGGTCCGTAAGGGTATCATTAAAAAATCAGTTACATGCTTACTATCCTCACCAAGGATACTCCTCGGAACTCCCTCCATTGAAAGCCGTTTCTTTCCGTTCTTCACTTCTAGGTGGTAAGAGTACTGATCCTCCTGTAATGTGGCTCCAAACAAGGTCACGTACACAATGTTTCCCAGCGTCGACTTCTCATAGTGGAGGAGGAAAAGCATGTCATCTGCTTTGAGAAGGACATTCATATCTGATGGGGCCAACATCACGGTAAACCAACCACCATAGCTAAACTCTTGGGTGCGCACTTGATGAACCTCTTGAAAGTGGAGCGGGAAAGTCGACACCAGATTCGAGAACCCACAGCTTGCTACGGGACACATAAAAGGCGCGAAAGGGCAAGATATTTCATGATTCTTTTTCTTTGTGAAGCTAACCACTTTTGTGCATCCGTACTCCGCGTGCTTACAGCTCATCTGAAGGGATTCAATCAGCTTCTCTATGGCCAGACATCGAATTTTTCCTACTGGCTTTGAACATGATGGGCAAATGCCGTGCATCTTGACGCAGCACTCCGTGCATGCGATGTGGCCATTTGTACACTACATAAACACCATCGCTTTTTTGGTAAAAAAGTCCACGTCAATTCACCAATTTCATTTTACAGGCAAAACTCAAACCCTTTTATCAGCTTAAAAGCATTCAGTAACATAATATGATCCTACAAATCTTCTAATTTTTCTTTCAACTCATGACTTTTGTCCTTGGCCGATAGATAGGCCAAGGACAAAAATGATGAATTCGAAGAAATTCTCTTGCCAAATAAAGAGCTACTGGTCAATACAAAATCTTATGTCAGTTTCCGGCAGATATCATTTTCTTTTTACACCTAAAGCTTACAACCTGGACCAACCCATCTACTAGACCTTTGTGAAATTCTGCGTGAAAAGAACCCAAAGCAGCCTCTAACTCAGAGTAGAGGCTGCTTTGGGTTCTTTTCACGCTGCTGGTGGAGCCAAAGCTGATTAGGCAATTCACAGCGTTGACCGAAAGTAGAAACGAAGGAATACGCAATTTTGATTCACAGAAAATTCATTATCGCAGTGATTGCCTTATCAAGCAAGAATGAGTTTGGTTCAACTCGTTACAATCTAAGCTGAAATCATTCCAAACAACTCTTCCAGGTTTTATTGCCAAACCTGGAAGGTTTAATTCTTCCCGACCGATGGAAAAAGCACCATCCTTCGGCTCAACAGATTAGAATATCCACATGAGACACTCCATCCTGTTCAGCAAAGGGCAGCGTATCACCCACCAAACGACCTAACCAGTCGACAATGAAGCGAAAGGCGAGCTCCGTCATTTGAAAAGCTGCATTAAAGTTGCTCGCTCAATTGCCTACCAAAGAATGGATGGTGCAGAAAAAAAGGCTTCAGAATGTACTCAGTGAGTAGGTTCTGAATCCTTCTTTGCAAATCGGGAGTAGATTCCATGCCCTCAGGCATGATTTAACGAGTTTTCTTAAAAACGTAAGTTACAAACCTGGAGGTAAGTGGCAATCTACTCATTTCGACTGACCAGATCTTTGAACTGCCTAACACAAGCAAAAAATCGGAGAGGACATCATTAGGACTTACCTGGAAGATTGGCGGACTCAGTGGCTCCATGCAGATATTGCAATCCAAGATATCAGGATCAAAGGTGGCAGTGAACTGGCGGTCATGACTGCTGTGATCTCCGCTTATCATTGCGACAGGAGAACTAGGTGTCTCCGTTGTCTGTTCAAGTCTGATTCTCTTGGAAGGCGGCACAACTGCAGAATACGGTTGCACTGAAAACTTCACCATACTTTGCTGATTCCTAAACTTCACCATACTTCACTCATGTCCACTCCGCCAACACCTGCAAGACCGATAAAATCGTCAGCTCTCTTTCTTCTCGCCCTAGAAAAAAAATTAAAATGAAAAGAAGATGTTGCCTCGATGCATACATCGGCGATTTCTATCAAGCTCACCTAATGATCGGCCAAACTCTGCATCGAACGTGGAAACTCCCCGCGTGCCCATCATGTGCACAACCGTAATTTCAACGACAAAGAGCAAAGAGTGATCCGAGAACGGCGAAGATTAGCTGGTCGAGACAGGTTCCACAGCCTGGGAGTGCGTCTTCTCATTGCCGTCGCTCAGGCATGAAAATTCAGCGTCTAGCAAGCAGTCAAAGTTCAAATCTTGGCATGAATGTGAACATGCACCTTGGAACTTGACCATTCTGCAAGCAACGAATAATTCCGCCCGACAAAAAGCCGCAATTTCGTTTCGGCGCCGGGTGCTTGCTTGCGTGCCTGCATGTGTGTTCTGACTCCTACGCTAACCAATTGGATTGAAATTTCGCGCAATTCGGAAGCGTGCCTTTCGCGACTCCAATTCCAACACAGTGCTCGAACAAGAGACAAAGGCAGGGACAAAAACGACCGTCACTTGATAAATATGCTCCCGACTTGCCCAAATAGCGCTATCGGCGCTGTTAAAGAGCTCGCTGAAATTAACACAGAGAAATAATGTATTCAGAGCTAGCTATTTACCGTGTGTTTATTGTTATTTTATAGAAAGGAAGACTATGTGCTCTTTGTGTTGGTTTTGTAGTTTGAGTTGTACACATAGAACTATTTTGTCTCATAACTCTATTTTATAGATGTGAGAAAACGATAAATTTGATTACACATATAAGCATTCCTATGGATGAATTTTGATTGTGGTAAGTTTTACTAACAATAATTGAGTTATTAAAATAAGATATAAGTATTTAATATTTACTATTTATGATTTGTATCGGCACATTTTTGAATGCATTTCGACTAACAATGAGAAATATGTAGAATTTACATCATTTGTTCATATACCCACAACTCACATCTATGGGTTCGTCTGATATAATATTGTTGGCTAAAATTCTTGATGGGCAATGGAAGACGAAATGTCTAAATCCTCAGTCATGACCATAAAATCAATTTTCAGTTCAAGCAACTATGACATCATGTCACATAAAACGTTTTAAAGGTTTGCGAAGAATTACTTCACAGAGATTGTGTGCCAAGAGAGGAAGTAAAACATTTTCTGTGGAAGGCAGTATTTCATCTTCAGGCACCCTTCACTAAACATGTTAAATTTGAGCAGATTATGAGTTCTTCGTGCAATCAAGGTCCCCCTTTCACAATCAGAAACGACTGTGATGTACCACAAACTTTGTGGTAGATCATTCATATCCTAGCCTGCCACAGGAGCTAGGCTTTGTGGCACAAAGCCTAGCTCCTGTGGCAGGCTAGGATATGAATGTGCATCCACATGCTCAGCATATCTTTGCAGTCTCAGAATACCTTTAATTATAGGGGACTGTCTAGTGAGATTAGAGATCATATTAGAGATTTATAGTGTTGATTAGTACCTACTCACTTCACTGATTAGCTCCACGCCTGAGGTTGAAGAAAACCTCTTCCCTGCGTTGAAAATTGGAATGATCAATATGAAGCCTGTTACAATCAATGCGTTTAATAATGCCGCTGAGAACATTTTGAGAGCTCAATTATTGACTGTTCACAAGCACATCAAAAGGTGATGCAATGAACGTTCATTTTAAACTTTTGAGCGCGCTTAGTATTATTTATGACTATAAATGACTTATTACTTAAATGATTTTTTGGACGTGCATCTTGTAAATGTAGACATTACTTAATTGCAACTTCGATCAGGTGTTGGCCTTTTCCCGGTGAGGACAAAAAAATTTCTGCTTTCAGAGTAGTTCAAATAGCTTACCTCTTCTTGCACAAAATATAAGGATCTCACCATCCAGAGATCATCGTTAGAGGCGTGCACATACTCATTTGAGTGAGGAGCTCGTTTATACATGATCGCATCAACACAGTGTAACTCATCTGAAGAGTTTGAAAATCTCTCACTTCAAACCCTGAACCCTTGAATGGACATGATGTGTACAATGTGGTTCCAATTTCGTATGGGCAGATGATTTAGACATACTTCCCTCTGTACCTAGGTCTAGATTCGGAGCCCTCTAGCCTGTGTGCCTCATTGCTGGGGGCGAAAACTATGTGATGGAGACTGCCATTCTCTCTACTCTCTTGTAGCATCTCGGAGTGGTTATCTTTGAACTCTTGATGAACCCTCCTGGCAGTGGCGGCTATGATTTCTGTATACTTAGATGTCTTCTCCATTGTCAGCAGACACCGACTGTATCTAGAACTCAAGATCTGCTCGCTATTGGCAATAAGGGTGAAGCAAGGGTGTTTTGGGAGGAAATCATCTCCACATTCGTCTCTTGGAGCAGGGTAGAAGAATACCAACCTCCCACCTATTACAAGTAAGCGGGCTGCCATGTCTAAGAGATCGTGCAGACATTCAGCTAACGTGTAGGGCGCTGTGGAAGGAATGTGGTCTTTTCTCATGTTCTCTTGTATTGTGTACGGATCTCTGATTCCCTGTAACATCTTCCGTCCTCCAGATTTCCTACCCCCAGCTCTCACACCATAAGGTGGATCACAGATGATGGCATCGTAGACCTGTTCAATGATCCCAGAAGCAACAGATTAAGCAAGTATCAAAGATAATATGAAAATCTATCCAGCGATATAAAAGCCTTCAAACACTTACGAGCGTTACAACAACCCCACATAATTTCCACAAAAAGTCAGATCAAGCGGGCTAGGCAACTAAGAGCAGTTAAACTATCACCAGCCCCACGCAGTAGCGTGAATTCAAGTCTCTTTACTGAGAAGGGACAAGCAGGCACCTCGAAGAGATTCGGGCGCCAGGGTGGAACATTGTTGTCTGCTCGAATGAGGCCGACTGGTGATGGCAGTTCATACTGTCATAAACGGCATTGGTTGTTAGACGTGTAGACCTTTCGATGACTTGACAATTGACACAAGCTTACAGTTGCAACCAGCACATATCAGAAGAGTAGTAACAAAAAATCAGAATAAAATTTAGATTTCACGATATTGGACATGCCTGCTTGAAATTACTCCACACATTCCGATCTGGTCCCTTTCCATCACGAATCACCCTTATGTCGATATCTGCACCCTACAAAGGAGATAATAGATTTTAAACTTGGATCATATTCATCTCCCTGACTATGGCAAAACGGCCTTGCTTCCTCAAGACAACTACCTCTATTAACTAACTACTTACACGACTACATTTGTGTGAGGGGCGTCAAAAAGTTTGATACGGGCACAAGTTAGAGGACAAAAAAATCAAAACGGAATTGATGTATTTCACAAGCTGATAGTCCAAACATTTTTCGATACCTGGTAGGTTAGGAACTGACCATCGTCATGGCTCCACAGTGCGCAGCTGCCACAAGTATACTTCCAGTTCCAACGAAAGGGTCATAGACAAGTTTCCCTGGCTTCGCAAGCGCTTGGTTTGCCATCAACAATGCTACCTCTGCGTCCATGGCTGTGGGTCCAAGGTAACTGCGCCGACTAAGCTCATACTTCACAACAACTTTGCGGTTGGAAAGACCAATCTCTCGACCAAATATTATTGACCGATTGTCGGCAGGTGGTAGCCCGTTGTTGAAATCGTTGCCCTCTGTTTCAATAATCCAAAACTTATGTTGTGGGTTCTTCAGGTTGACAGCACCCTAGATTCAGCCATGTTTAAGAAGTCAGACTTTGTACTAGAAGGCACGATAGACAGGAGCAATCAAATTTTGTCTACAACAAAGAAAGGAAGTCCCATCATCATCCACAGGGTAAAAGGCAGTGAATCGGTACCATAAAGGGAATGTAACTAAGCGCATGAATGCGCTCATTCTGCTCATCAAGAGACAACACCTTTCCGAAGGCGTCGACAACAATTTTAAAGGTACTATCTTCGGTCAAAAAGGGGGCCTTCTTCTCGTCAGACAGAGACTCAATAGATGCTTTTAGCTCATCATAAGTTCTTCCTTCTCCCCAAACCTCAAAAAACCCCTTCAGAAGAACGCCTGCGCATAACATTTGCATCCACATGGTGAGCCAGTCTTTTCTGCTAGTGTGGAGAGATTGTATTTACGTACAGTGGTAAGATGCACAATTAATATTGCAGCCACCATGAATAAATGGCTAAGCTTTGACCTTCAAAAATCAAGTACACGAAGAGCAATAAAGGGATCAAAGATGAAAGGGAGACGAATTTCGCGATTCAAAAAGCTTGTCAGCTCATCACGCCCTCATTCACTGCCAGCAGCTCTCACTAAGATCGTTGCAAGACATATGACGCTATAAAGATGAATTGCGATGGCGTCAAAACTCTACCAACAAGTGAAGATTGCTTCTTGGCGTGTATGTCCCCTTGCCAGCTTAATCTGAGTAATCATACTGACCCCTCACAGAAAGGACGAGGATTACAACACAATTGGCGAAACACGAGCATGCTTATCACTAGTTTTGTGCCATACTTCAGAGGCATCACATTTGAATTGCCACAGAAATAGACTGTGTCTAGGCTAATATGCGACCCATTGGATGAAGTTGTGGAAAAATTCACAGCACAAGCGGAGAGTTGAATTCTTACTGCGGGAAGCGATCTGCCGAGCGACATCTTCAGACGGTAGGTCGATGAAGTAAAACGGTGAGTCCTCATGGTGATGAGGTGATTGCTTCCACTTCAATTCAGCATTTTCTCCCAAAAACAACTTCGCTAGTGACTCGATTTCAGGTTTCCGATAATCAAGCAACCTGTGCAGGAAGTAGCACAAAAACCACATCTTCGGAACAAATCCCCTACACCATATGCTTCCAAAACCTTTTCTCTCCGCGCAATCCCGTCAGCAAGCTCCACTCGTCGGTCTCGTCTCCACTCAACTCGGATTCCAGGGCACCGGTGCTATACCGAGACCAAATTTCCAAATTCCTCCGAATCCATCATGCGTGACAGCACTTCAATTTCCAAGTGCCATAGTTTCCAGACTCCAGCGACGGTGTCTGGAGTTGTCGGAACTGGAACAGTTGGGATTTAGGGTACACTGTGTTCTCTCGTGGTTCAGGGTCAGGGTTTAGGGTTCTCCACGACAAAAGCTGGAGGGAAGAAGAGCAGGATGTGCGCAGTTCTGCCAACTATGGAAACACCATCGACGAGCTTTTGGAGTCACATGGTCCGACCTCGAAGGAATCTCCCAGATCTCTGCCCAATCAGTGACACACACAGAGCACAAACAGGGACTTCTCCAGCTCCTCCCTCGCCGTCTGCACCAAATCCTCTCTCTCCATGAGCAAATTCCTCGAGCTTCTTTACTCGAGTACGGGCAACTCTTGCAACTTGGAACAAACATACAATGTGGAATTAAAAAATCCTCCTCTCACGTGATTTGTTTTACAATGTAGTTAGAATAAAAGCTGTTTATCTCTCTCATCAGGTCACCTCCATTTCCACTAGGAACATCTGTGTGGGGTCTCAAGGCACATCCTCATGCGTTTGTGCATCCCTGTGAATTATCCGAGCTTGATTATGGTCTAGAGAGAACAGAGTTTGTTCAGCATACAATTTTTTCACGGAACCTTCATCGTTAAGCTTGTAAACTATTTGAGACTTAACATCTCAAGTAAAAGTGCATCGTTATAATCATATACAACAAATGTCTTCTAACCTTAACTATCGTAGAAAATCTTTTTGTTTGTCATCCGAAACACTTGATGGCTAAATAATTTCCAATATATGAGAGCATCATAGTTTTACATTGATGTATTGACCCATAAAAGTAATTTTTACCAATCTTTCATATTTGCACATTTATGTATTTTTTATGATGAAATTTTAAATCATGTTTCAAAACAATTATATAATTTTTACATTGAAATTTCTTCTTGCGACCAAATTTTTTGTTATCATCCACATATGTCAGTTGTGGATTTTTGTATTTGTTGATATTTCATTCATCCTGATACTCAAGCCAATTTTTTATGCAGGTGCTAAAATATCTATCAGATCTAATAAAATGACAAGATTAATCATCTCATTAGATTGAAAAAACATGAAAATCCTTCATACTGTAGCTGAATAATGAAATTAAAAATATCATGTTAAACATAATATCTCAAATGTAATTAACAATGCAATCTATTGAAAATCTAAATTTTTGTTCTTTCAAAGCATTTTTTCAAAGATTGTTCGACAATATAATCGTACCTAACAAATGCTTGAGTGCATACAATATTTTTTGAACTAAAATGTTAATTGACAATGTATGTATACTGATAAAACACACATAGGATACTCAATTGTTTAAAAAAATCATGAAAATTATCAAGCACATGTAATATATCATGTCAGGAAAATTTTCATTTTTTGTTGAATAATGTCATGAAAATTTCACCACATTAAATCTAATCTATTTGTAACAGTGTTGTTCATTTATTTGCAGTAATTTAAAAATTTATTTGAATTTTTAATCTTTGTTAAAGTACATCTGATGATCATGAAATTATATAATCATCAGTGAAGACTAACGATAACTTCATAGGTTGCAAATGCTTGATAAAATTGTTAAAATGTTTTTAACAGTGTGATTTGATGCGATTATAAAGTTTTCCGGTATATGTGATATACTTTGATTTGGTGAATGCCATACTTACATACATGTTAGTCATAACTACCGACATAATCCATTCTCCTTTTCTTTCCTTCAGGCCGACTTGAAAGATTTCTCATAGTTACAAGATGTTAGATTAATCTCATAAGGTCATCAATTTGTATAAATTTGTAGTATGATCTTTGTCCGACCCCACATGAACATTAACTAATGATATTTTCGAGGTTTATGATATTCTGGAATCATCCCTTCCGATCTTTCTCAGTCTTGTCCACAACACACATTCCAATATTGTTCAGGCGCTCACTTCATGCAAGCATAACTGCAAGAAATCACAGGAGATAAAATGCAGGAGAAATAATCGGCTTCACACATGCATTCAATGATTGAATGCAAACGTCCAAGAATTATGGTTCAACACCTCACACTTGTGAAGCAATCCATCAGAAATGATTTCAAACAACCGAATCACCAGAGACTGCAGCTCCACAAGTTAGGCCCTGATTATATAGACCTCACTGGAGTTTCCATGGGATTACAACCTCGATTGTTACCCTGCTAACTAATTTAGTTAGCAGGGTAACATTGGTTATTCTACTGGGAACCTTTTCCTTTCTCTCCTACTGTCCTTGGGAGGTGCTGCAATGGTCCACTTTTCCTCTCTTTTAGTCTGCGCGTTCTGGTAAGATTCAGGCAATTTTGGGGGAGGAGTGCAATTGCTCCGGCAAACAATGCTCAAAACTTTTGTCGACATTAGAGCGGAAGACAACAATAAAAAAGCATTTCAGCAACTGAATCTGCGGCCTAGCATTTCATCCTTGTACGGCTGCTTCATGGGATCTTCCCATCCTTTACCCCCTGAATATCGGTATATCCCCCCTGCTGAAGAACAGGGGGATATACCGCTAAGTGTTCGTTATACCGATCCACCTGCTCCTTTACACGACAAGGCAGGTATGCAGCTGCAGGAGAAAAAAACTAATTCGAAACTTCGAATGTCATCATGTTCGTGGCATGGCTTCGTTTTGACTGACAGTTGTTTCACACACAAAGAAGGCTCAAAGCCTCGAGAGCCTACCATCCTTCCTGTGCAAGCGGATGCATGCCGGAATGGCATCATGCTTGCTCCTCAGCAACTCCCGGACGTTACGTGCATACTTTCTTATTTGATGAACTTCCACGAATCTGATCTACACTGCTGGGTTCCAACTTTGATGCACCATGAAGGATTGTCTGTTGACAGAGAGCATGTTGATAAAAAAGATGGGAGCTATCTACATGACGATGATTTTATCGGCATTTTGGACAGCCACAGGAGTGCAATTTACAGGGGAGATTTCTGAGATCCATACAAACACAGACCCTCTGCAACTGGGGAAACCACGTTTGCAAATTGTCGAAGACAAGCCTTTTAAAATAGCGCTTATGGCAGACCTTCATTATGGAGAGAATGCATGGACCGATTGGGGCCCTCAGCAGGATGTAAACTCCACCTGTGTTCAGGAGTGCATCCTCGAAGTCGAAAGGCCAGGTACATAGGATCTGAATGAATATCTTTTACATTTTGTTGAAGATCGGTAGGTTCACACTGGTAGGATCTTCGAGGGGAGACTGCTAGCCGAGTTATCTTTTGTGAAGTCGAATTCTTAATCACAGCTGATTCGTGCAAGTGCATGGAAAATATCATAGTTTTGTTATTACTGTGAGTTCTTGGCAAAATCGGGCCTTGAAGGCATTCTGGAGAAGACAATAGTTTTCCCAATCTTTTCTTCCTATTTCAGAATCAGATCACATGGATTGCAGAATTATGGAATGAAACTATGGAATAACCACTCGCGCAGACTTTGTCATCTACTTGGGTGATCAGGTTACTGCAAACAATATTCTGGCAGCGAATTCCTCGAAGTATTGGGTACAATTGATGGACCCTGTAACTAAGCGCGCTATACCTCATGCTTCAGTGCTTGGCAACCACGACGACGCCTTCATGGAATATGACAACAGCTGGTTTGGACCTTCTGGAATTCCTGGTCTTCCTGCTGGTCAGTAGACCTCTTCTCACGGTTGCATTGCTACTCTCATCCCGCTTACACGTCTTCTTGTCAATCAGAACTGCTGAGCAGCATACCTCCAGCAGTACTTAGTTTCTTTCTGGCCTACTGGTAGAATTGAGCCGGAAAGAGTCTGTAGAAGGGTCAAGAACTGCTAAGACGACAACAATTCTGCGTTTCCTTGGTACAATAATCAGTCGATTTACTGAACAGCATCAATCAAGATCATGAGAGGGCTAGCTGAAATATTTTGCGAGATTCATAATCTATTCATGACCTCTGTGACAACCAGCTGAAAGAAAGGCCAAGGTTAATCCTGATAGTATGTAGTATGTGGCTGTGGCATAGCATATTATTTTCTGGAGTTTGTTTTTCTTCCAAATATCTTCCGACTTCTGCATCCCCTCTCTGCATCTAGTTCAGCCATGTAGCGAATGAGAGCATTACACCATAATGAACGTCAACTGCTTTTGGAGCATCTGTGCCTCAAGAGCAGGTCTTGTCAAAAATGTTTTTTGAATGTATTGAGTGTTGTGAGTGGGTCCATCTGAGTGCTATTTCGTGGCAGACGACGTAGGTTACTACCATAGCACCACACGAGAAGAGTTGACGAACCTGGAACAGACAATGGACACTTCGTTGACTCAAGCGGGACCCAAAGCTCTGTGGCCGAGCATGTCCAACTATGTGCTTCCGATCCGCTCACAAAAGTCTCCGGGCAGTGTGGCCGTTCTTCTCTACTTCTTGGATTCTGGCGGTGGATCATATCCCGAGCTTCTTTCCGCAGCTCAGATAGCTTGGTTCAAAACCACAGCAAACAGCATGAATCCGTCTGACAGGTAATCACTAGTTTGATTCTTTCTTCATCGAGATGATAGCCCCTCACACAAAGAGTGCCATACTAGCAAGAACTTCTTGCACAAATTCAGTCTCTTACTTTCTGGAACATTCATTACTCTCTCAAACGCTTACAGAAATCATATCACAAAAAACCAATACGGCGAACATAGCTGCAGAGCTTCTTGCCTACGCCCCCCATAGTATACAGCGTAATTGTGTTGACTACGAGAGCCTGATCGGTGTGACCATCCAAAGTTACAGCACACGTGAATAAAAGATCCCATCGATGGCAGCACGTATTCTACCTTACATGAAACATGCGAACTGTGCACTGACAATTTAGGTCCATCTAATCGCTAGCTAACACTGGACAGTGACTAACAACTTGTGCTTAACGCAGAATTCCGGAACTTATTTTCTTTCACATACCGACTGTAACCCATGAGAAGATTGGGCCTAAGCCAAAGAGGAGAATAGATTTGCCGTGCGTTGGATCCATCAATCTCGAGGCGGTTGCTCCTCAGGTTCAAGATGGAGGGATGGTGGAAGAGCTCACAAAACGATCGTCTGTGAAGGTGAGACAACGGTGTTGTTCCTCCGACATTGTGATTAGTAACTCAGAGCGAAGAGTATATTGTAGATGAGTGCAAATGAACACCAGACCGAAACGGCTCGGCAACTACGGTGCAATCAAGAAGCAAATGATTTGCAATCCTGACCGTAATATTGATTCTGTGAATGTGACAGGCTGTATAGTTTGGCCGCAAGCATGGTCTTGACTTCCGGTGTCCTCAACGTAAGCTGTTGAAAGATGCTGACCATGATGTTGAGATTTGCGATGTGACAGGCTGTATTTTCTGGCCACAACCACGGTCTGGACTGGTGTTGTCCTCACCAGAGTTTGTGGTTATGCTTCGCTCGGCACACAGGTTACGGTGGCTACGGAACTTGGACAAGGGGATCTCGAATTTTGGAGCTGGTCGAAGAGCCCAATTTTGGACTGAGGTCCTGGATCAGGCTGGAGACTGGCGAGGTCGCAGCTGAAGTCAATCTCGTCTGACTTCTTGTACTATGAGGAACAATCAGCTCCATGATTGCAAGAAAAAGAAGGAAGGTCCGAAAGTAAAAACCTCATCCATTTTGTTGCTTTCTGTTCCTTTGTCGGTCCTTTCCATCTCCCTGGGACTACATCTTCTCTAGTTCCTCAAAGTCAAAAGCTATGAAGGGCAGAGGAAATATCAAACGATGTGCAAGTCACATATCCTTGACTTCTGATGAGCCCTTGGTCCTTGTACAGGTCAGGGGTCCCTTAGCCCTACCACGATCTGAATGGAAATCCAATAGAAACCCGACGTCTTCTTGGATGTGCTTGTTTAGAACATAAGAAGTACAAATTACTTGGACGCTCATGCACAAGAATCGGAGGGGATGGATGCTACCACCATGGCGGTTGCTTCGTCCGTAGACTCAAGTACATAAACTCTCAATGTTTGTATATATATTCCTGCTTCAAGGCAGAAACGTGTGTATAAGGTGAATGCTCGTAACCAAGTGTTATTTTTCGCCACGTACTTCCCGTCCGCTGTACATCTCTGCCTAAACGAATGAGGAGTGCCAATGCTTGCAAGCGGTATGGGGCTGACCCAGGAAAACACCTTCAGAACCGAGAGATCTATCGAGTCCTTGTTCAAATTTGAACAAGCCAGCAAGCAACTCCAAATTTGGATCCACTGCAACGTATATCGTCTTCAACTATTATCGCAATGGTCTCAGAACTTAATTCTGACCGGTGCGTGATGAATCGAACACTCTATTTCTTATGTACGTCAAGGACAATATACTTTGTCAGTAAGAGTTCGCAGCTCTCAATTGATTAAAAAATATGACAACCGGCGATGGGCCTACAATAACTTGCCTACCTGGCCTATTAACCCAGAATATCTCAGCCTTGGGTAAGAAACAACTGCATTAGAAACTTATGCCCACTGCGGAGTTGGTTGCCTGACATAAGTCCTGGTCCGTCTGTTGGTCTTGTAACGTTCCTTCGATGCTCAAGATTCTGTGACAATCACACGGAAGCATACCAGCCAGCTAGATACAGAACATCTTCGGATAGTGTTAAAAGCATACAACCGGAGACATGATAGCTCTTACAGCTGTTCACTCACCCTTCCTTGCCCTGCTTGGAAGCAACGGGGCCTAAGTCACATCACACACCAGTGGCTGCCCCTAGGTGTACCCTAAATCATGCAGCTAAAATAACTGCTAATAAAGTGAAGTGTTCCTACAGATTGGAGGCGACGGGGGTCATCCTAACATGGCTTCGGATCGTATCAGCATCTCGGCAAGGAAAGAACCCAACAAGAAAGAGGATAACTACGAGAACTCCACACTCTCCAAAAAACCCGTCTGAAACATGAACAGACTAGACCCGGGAATCCAGCGACTGTTTCCGGAACTCAATGGTATGAATTTCCTGCATCTTCAAAATTCGGCATCTCACACATCACACCATGAGAGTAAGCTCTAGAGAAACACCTATAGAGGCTTTCCCTTATCTTTTGAACTTGAAACGCAGTCGAGAAAAGCAAAGTTCATAATGAGCAAATGACAATCTTCTCTATTCCGACTTCATGCACGAACTTATAAAACAGATTTGGAATCCACTGTACTCACACTTACTTCTGCGTTGATAAAATTCAGGAAATAAAAGCAAATTTCAGCCATTCCCACCTTAATGTAAAAGCTGATCTTAAAAGGCATATACATTTCATGATATTCAGAACACGTGTACGGGAACATGAACAGATGATAGTCTTAAGAATATGATATACACAAGATCTTTGTAAAATGTAAGACACAAACGCACTGCTAGAGTGTTTTATTCACCTGTCCTGAAAATTAACACGAATGAAATTGACCTTATTCTAGACAGCGTCTGATAAACAAATCAATATCTCCACTAGTTGTTCCATCAAGAAAGTCTTTCGGATGAGAGATTCCCGAGGATAGTCATACTCTGGCGCAAAAGATTCCGTTGTTTCCAGAAAGAGGCAGACGTCAGACTCCAGAATGTATGAATCGTAATCACACCAAAGTTGCTCAAACCTTGACAGTGGTGACAAATTTCAACAAAAAGGACGTGACCTGCAAGATAAACACGTAAGACCCGAAAGTGCTTAGTTCCAATCAGCTTTTCTCCACACATGCTCGTGCTTTCAAGCATAAGAGATCTTTCTACTAATACCTGATTCAGAGTTTGACGCTAAGTTGAATGACGAGTAGCCAATTCTTATTAAAAACTTCATGTTTGCAAGTAAAGTCCTCCCAACATTCATAAAAATGTAGACAACAGTGAACGGACAGGGAACAAAAAACATGAGACACCCTACATCGCTTGACTTGGAAGATGCTTCTTCTTTGAGTCGCTCAATCTTTGCATCGGTTTCTTCCTCCAATCGCTTCACATTAGAGTCAACACTCCCACTTGACTGGAACATAACGAGGCACAAGACATATTGTCCAAAATTTAAGTAAAGCCTTGCCGCCTAGCTGAATCTAGAAAAAAGGAAGAGGAGAAAGTAAGCGTCGGTAGATCCAAATTCCGACAGCAAAAGCTCAATGTATCACTTCAGTGTGAAAGTAGATGAGCTGGAGTGTTTTCATATAAGGAAGGGTACGCAACAACGTCAACAAAAACCCACAAGTGTATTTATCACGTTACCAGCTCCTGCTTCTTCTTGAATTCAGCGTCCCTCTGGGCCCTGAACGCTGCAATCTCCCGCTCAGCTTCTTCCTTAGCCTGTCGCAACCTTTGCGTCTTGCCTAAAAAAAACGGAAAACATCAACAGTCTGATTAGAGAAGTCCAAGCTTCACATGAAGAACAGAACAAGTCATTATGATGATTCCTCAGCTTCAGCTTTCGAAGACCAGCTCTATCTACGAGCGCAGGAGCAGCTCAGATCGCTTGACCACAGGCCAAACTGACGGATCTACACATTGCACATCACCGAAGACTAGCACTCCCGAAGACATAACAAGCCTAAACCCCTAAACACTCATACTCTATGCTAGTAATTCATCGAACACCTCGCAACAAGTCAAAATTCCAGCGATCCACCAAATCGAGAACTATTTGGGCGCAAAAAACGAGGTCCAGCTTTCGAGCCAGATCGCAAAACTCCAGGCCACGCAACATACCAGAACGGGCGTTGGCCACGATGCGCTGAGCATCCTGCTCCGCTGCCAAGAGCATCTGGATTCCTCCCTTGTCATCCATGATTCCAGACGAGATGTGAAATGCTCACTACTTCCGATCGATCAGCACAGCGCTGATAGATGGAGAGGGCGGAGAGAGGAAGCAGACGGAAGTCGGAGGTGGAAGGAGAGAGAACAGAGCATGCAGATTAGTGCAATTGCTCAATGGCAGGGATGGAGAGGTCTAAGAAGGCAGAGAGAGCCCGAGCTGCTCCGAGGCTGGCGAGCTTGACCGTGCTGCTATTTGCCTCGATACTGTGCTCAGACAACTCTTCCCTTCTTCCGAAGCCTCAGCCCTTGGCTCCCTCGGCTCCCTCACGCGTGACCCTGTGACAGTGCCAGCGACTCATCGTCGTCTCTGCGCTTTCCTTTCCCAGCTCCCCACGCGCCCTACATGGATGGCCGTGACGCAGTCCACGCCCCCTTCGACTTCGTCCCTTCTACTCTACTGCGTCCATATGAGTAACCTGGTTTCCAGTTTTCTCCTCCTTTTTTTCATTTTCTATTTTATTTCGTGTACTACAGTACTACACTTGCGGGAGCCCCGTCAAACTGCAGTCCACGCCCCTATCGACTTCGTCCCTTCTACTCTACTGCGTCCACAAGAGTAACCTGGTTTCCGGTTTCCTCCTCCTTTTTTTAATTTTCTATTTTTAATTCGTGTACTACAGTACTACACTTGCGGGAGCCCCGAAACTGCAGTCCATGCCCCAATCGACTTCGTCCCTTCTACTGCGTCCACAAGAGTAACCTGGTTGCCAGTTTCCTCCTTTTTTTTCATTTTCTTTTCTTTATTCGTGTACTACAATACACTTGCTGGAGCCCCATCGAACTGCAGTCCACATGTCACTTTCTATTTTTCATTTCACGCGTGGTTAGGCAGATGTTGAGTTCTTTTCGGTCATTTCAGTTTTCTTATTTATGATTTTTGTGACAATGCGCGATACCATGTACGTATTCTATCTTGTTAAGGTGTTTTGAGGTAGATGTTTAATGATCCCTTTAAGGGTGGCCAGACAAACGAGAGGGTTGTTGCTAAAGGTTTTGAAGGAATTACTTCATATGGCAGTGCATTTTCAGGATGTTGTTAATTTTTGGATGCAACCATTTATTCTTACTTTGCACAAAAGACGTTGTACCACAACATCATGTATCGATATATTTTCAAAGATCATGGCGTAAAGATTTTCATATATAAGAATACAAACGTATCAGATCTATTTTTCGCCAAAATGTAAAAATTTTACTCTTTCGAGTCTCAACTCGAAAAACCATTCATGAAAACTACCATTGATCCCTAGGTACTTAAATGGTGCTGCCAATCCGCAGTGTTCCATGAACATAAATGACCATGTACCAAATTCCAACCTTGCTTGGCGCCAAGATGTAATTTTTGTCTTCTTTTTAAGTTTTTTTTTCTGGACAATATATTAGTTGTTGATTAACGGCCAATCAATGTCCAGCACCATATTATCGATACATACAGTTTATGTGTTACTTCAGTACCTCTGATCAAGGAGGAAATAACATGTAACTACAGAGGTCGAACAACTCCACCTCCTCAGAAGTTACAAATATCTAACACGACACACTTTAGAAACTGCAAAAAATATCACAACGAATCTTACAAATAGATGAATGATCTAATGTACAATCTTTTACACGATAAGTCGAGGGGTGTTTTCTTCGCTTGATCTTTCAGATTCATCACCCTTAATTATTGTCAACGAAAGTATTTTTCTAGGGTTTCTTCCACACAGAAATCTAACATGCCAAACTCCTTCTGAAACTAGGGACACTTGCTCTCTATAAGCGAATTTTAGGCATTGAAGAGTTGTTAAATTTTGCTGGAAGCGTCTCTGCACGCTCTTTTTAGTGAGTTTATATTAGCATACGATTTCAGTTGATCATTAGGACGATCTTTCATTGCTCACCTTTTTCCGTGCCTGGTTACATTACTTATTATCCATTCGCCGCTCGTTGTCTTTTTCTCCTTTCGATTGTTGCAGATTTGCACCGCATTCGATGTTCACTTACGAGTTTCATTGAAATAGTTTGTTCATTTTCTATGAACAATCTTTCTAATTATCTTTTATTTCTCTAAATAGACGAGACCTTCGGATAGCAACTATATATTCTACCACTTCTGTGAATTATTATTTTTAATCCTGCTTTAAAAATTAGAAAAATCCATAGAATTGTAGGCGTAAAGTTCTGAAATAAAAAATGAAATCTAAATCTCATTTCAGAATTGAATTATGTAAACTGAAGAGCGGAGTCAATATGCTTCTTGCAGTGCCTGCAGGTATAAATAGGGTCCAAAGATCAGGGCTGACGAAAGTAGCGGACCCGAATTTTGAACGAGGAATCGCGCAAATTGATACTTCTCTTTTAGCCGAAGGAGCAGGCGGCCGTCAACAAATCCATCACCGACGAGGTTCTTCATCTCCTCGTCTTTTTATTTCCCGTGCCGAGGCCGCTGTTCTTTTCCGATCGCACTCTCTGCTGCGCCCTTCTCTTGCTGGGTCCTTCCTCGCCAAGTGGCACTTTGGCAATCATGGGTACGTATCTGTTCTCCTGTGAACTTACAATGCTGCCAGAAATTTCTTGTTGTCCTTCACCGTTGTTGGCGTGGAATCCTCGTATGAAAGAAATCGGTCGATTTGTGATTCTTGATCATGAACGCGTAGTGCGCAGCTGTATAGTTTGTGAAGCTGGTTTTTAAGAACTCTTGCTGTCCTGTGTCAGTTTCTCAGTATGAGGACGTACGATTTTTCGATTGTCGGGTAGGTTTTAGCTGCCTCTGGTCCTCAAATCTGTAGCTCGGTCTCTTGCTGCTCCCGGGCTTCTTAGCAGGAACTTCTCGACAAGTAAATTCCTTGTGGAAATTTACTTCTCGAGAATTTACTTAATGGAAAGCCTTCACCGTTATTTTAGTTTTTCACATGAACATCAAGTTGGAAGTCAAAACCGGCGGTAGCAGCAAAATTACCTCTGATCAAGAGTGAAGAACGTCGTCAGAGGCATATGTTGGAGCAATCTCGTGTATTAAAACTCAATACACCCAGAGTGGAAAGATAGTATACTGTTAACGGGCGAATTGCAGATTAGGGTTTAGAAGTCTCACTGTTCGCCTTGTGCTGAGGAGTAGTAAGGGCATGTTTTCGTCCAAGCTGTGATCGAAAGTTCCAGCCCTCAATAGTGTTCCCGACATTCTCGACAGAGAGCAATCATTTTGTATACTGAGCGGAAAAGGGTACGCATCACATGCATTATGATTCCAGACGGTGAAGCATGGATGTCTACGTTCTTATATTTTTCATGTATGGTGTTGTACCTGGATTGCAGCAAAGATTAAAGTCCATGAGTTGCGCACCCGGAGCAAGCAAGAATTACTGAATCAGGTACAATCCTCAGTAGTCTAGCATGGTACCGTCCTATGTTCGGACGTCCTTGTCTGCAGGGAGAAACGTCTTGTTTTTATCTCAATTTGAGCTTTAAGAATCTCAATTCAAGTTTTTGATTAGCAGTGTTTAAAGTCGATGTCTTTCATAGGTTTATATTGGCGATGGTTAGATTTCTTACGACAGAGTGACCCCTCAACGATTGTCGAACTCTATTCTACATCTACTTAAGAAATATTTTTTATTCTGAATTTGATGCAGCTCAAGGAGCTGAAGGCCGAGTTGGCTCTTCTGCGAGTTGCCAAAGTCACCGGTGGTGCCCCCAACAAACTCTCGAAGATGTAGATACTTAATTTGACTCCTACTTTTCTACAAGTGAATGGTCATGTAGTAAGGTCGACAACATAAATGTGGAGGACTATATACCCTTCTGTCTCAAATCATGCAATCCAGCTTGAGCTCATACGCCGTCCTCGTCAAGTGGTACCGTGAAGTATTTATTTAATCACTGTTTGCGCTTTGTATTGCAGCAAGGTTGTGAGGCTTTCTATCGCCCAGGTGCTCACTGTCATCTCGCAGACTCAAAAGGCTCATTTGCGTGAAGTGTACAAGAAGAAGTCGTTCTTGCCTCTTGATTTGCGACCCAAGAAAACGCGTGCTATTAGGAAACGACTCGCTCTACACCAGGTGCGTTTTCATGACCATGCCACAAGAAACTCCCAGCGAATTTGACAGGAAGCCCTTGATCGTTCTTTCAAGTTCTTTTTTGCAACTAGTCATGCTCAGGTTTCTTACAAGTAGTGCAGAACTGAGTACAGACCGTTTGTTCGCGCCAACCCCCCAACCCCCTCTTCCCTTCCCTTCCACTTATACTCTCTGTTTGTTGCGTTTGTTGCTTGGTCGTCTGACCTTATGTTGCCTTGCTTGTGCATTGTCTCCAGGCTTCACTCAAGACTGAAAAGCAACAGAAGAAGGACGCATACTTTCCGATGAGGAAGTATGCCGTAAAGGCTTAAATGCATAATTTAACTTACTCAGAACATTTTTTTGACACAGCAGCGTGCTCTTTCTGTAGAGCGTGAGAAAATGTTTTTGCGGAGCGATCAAGAATCGTCTTTAATCGAAGTGCATGACGTTATTGCCCAGGACAGTCTGTAAGTGAATGGTAGTCAATCTTTCTAAAACTTTGAAACTATCAATGGAAATCTAGACCTTATGATTAAGTTAGGACTTCAGCGGTCGCAGTTAAAAAGAGTGAACTGAGAAGCGTTCCCACGTTGGGATCTCTTTTATTGGTAGAATACTCCTGCTATCATATGGATTTAGAGTTATTCTTTTTAGGCGTAATGGGAAAAGTCGTTTAACCTTTGTCAGTCCAGCGTTATCGAAAATATTGAGTCTTGTTAATGACAGATATGAATTTTCTGGATTTTTTATTTGCGTTTCTAGACGAAGTTTCCATACTAGAGAAGGGTCATCATTGTCGACATTTGCAGGTCTTTTGAGACGTACAGGGTTTCATATTATTGGAGTCAGGGTCAACTGTTGAAGTTGTCCGCTCATGGTGTAACGTCATTGCGTAGGCTCAATGCAAAAAAAAAGAGGAATGCAATCCAGGTAAATATCCAGATAACAGAGATACGTCATCGTGATTGTTCCGGTGTATCTAATCTTGTTATCTTTCCACACAGATTGTGAAAGAAGTCAAACTTTTGCGAGTGACCTGGTTTTAGTATAAGTTCAGAGCAGTAACTCCCTTGAATCTGTTGAGTCTGAGCCCTACGCCCCTGATAAAACGAAATGTATCTCGCGCACATCGAGTCTTCTGATCTTCTATGGGCTAGCCCGGATTTATAAGAAGCGTAAATGCAGACCCAATGCATATCTAAGCCTCACTGGACTCCGCAAACAGACTTGCAGAGAGTCGGCTACGGTGCGAAGTGGGTGGGCGTACTCAAATGAAGTTCCCCCGACTCAATGCTCGCACCTATGACCGGTCACCTCTCGTGTGTACTGGGACGATGTGTACAGAGAAAAGCGGAGGGTCTGTAACCTTGCAACTCAACACTATCATGTAATCAAATGTCATGGAGTCAAATGCTCAAGTTCAGAGTTTAATTTCCCAATAGGGTCGCGTCGTGCGAGTGACATACTACCATTAATAATATCGAATTTGACAACTAGGAAATTTGTCTAATAGTAACCAATTCGAAAACCACTAGATTGAAACTAGTTAGTCTATCTATTACTATCTAGTAACGAAAATTTAAATATAATTTTGGACTTCCATTCCCAATCATGATTGTGCAAAAGCTTACTTTCAACAGTTTTTCCTTTCGAGAGCCAGCACAATTCCCCAAAAGCTTACTGAGTATAGTATTTTAGTTCTTTAAGGATGCCGTCATCGAGAGTTGATTCAAATGAGATAATAATGTAAAGGTTATAATCGTGAACTATAAAAAATTAAAATTGAAAGAAACAATAATTTAATTAATAAACATTTTAAAAGTAAAATTAATTATCCTTCAATTTGAATTAATTATAACTCACCTACACTAATGTGCATTACATCTGTACTCTCTCAATATTATAAATTAATAATAATTTTAACGTTAAAAGTCATAATAAATTAAAATTAGAAAATAAAATAATCAATCTCAAAAGTATTATAATAAAAAAAATATTAACATCAATGATAATAATTGTGAAAAATATAGATGAAAAAATCAAATAATTAATTTATAAAGTATTCTAAGATGATATAATAATAATATCAACCATAGTAACAAATGAAATAGTCAAAAAATTATTTTTTAAAATATCCTAAATAATAATATCATGGATGTTAGTTGAAAATATTAATTGAAGTAAACAAACAACTAAATTACAAAATATTTGAAGAAAATGAAAAATATACATCAGTAACAATCGTCATGAACGATACAAAATAGCAAAACAAAAAACCAATTAGAGAGTATTTTAATAAAACAAAATTAAAATAACATAATAATAATAAATTTGATATAACAAATAGAATAACCAGACAATTAACTCACATAATATTTTAAGAAAATTGGAGTTAATTTAAAGAATATTTAATAAAATAAAATTATAATATAGACATAGATATAATATAGTAAATGAAATAACCAAAAAATTAACTCACATAATATTTTAAGAATATATGAATTTATTTATAGAATATTTTAATAAAATAAAAATATAATACAGACATAAATATAATATAGTAAAGGAAATGACCAAAAAATTAACTCACATAATATTTTAGGAATATATGAATTGATTTATAGAATTTTTTTAATAAAATAAAAGTATAATACAGACAAAAATATAATATAGCAAATGAAATAACCAAAAATTTAATTTACATAATATTGTAATAGTATTGGAACTACTTTACAAAATATTAAAAAAAAATAGAATTATGACATCAACAGTAATAATTGTAAATATAATATAGCAAATGGAGTAACCAAAAAAATTAATTTACATAATATTTTGAGAAGATTGGAACTAATTTACAAAATTTTTTTAAAAAATAAAATTATAATATCAACAGTAATAATTGTAAATATTATATAGCAAATAAAGTAACCAAAAAATTAATTACATAATATTTTGAGAAGATTGGAACTAACTTACAAAATATTTTAAAAAAATTAAATTATAATATCAACAGTAATAATTATAAAGATAATATAACAAATGGAGCGTTGACGTTAACTCCGGTTAAGGAATAATCTCAGTCTATAGCTATAAATAGCTAGATGTGTCGCTGGCTTTGGGTATAAGTATACCCCAAGGCTTTTACTCAAGTCTTCTATTTCGTGTATTCAATTCTCAGTCAACCCACTCAGTGTTCTAGCCGTGGACATAGCCCTCGAGGATGAATCACGTTATATTAGTGTCTTCGTACTTGGCTTCAATGATTCTTGGTTTTACTTTCACAAATGGTGTCAGAGCAAGTTTTAGGTTCCGATCTGTAGTGAGTTTGTGCGCTAAAGGTTTTCTTAGTAACAGTTTCAGCTGACGGTTTTCTCACGGACAGTTTTGATGACAATTTCCTTAGTGATAGGTTATACTTTACTGATGGTTTTATGAGATGATATTTAGTGACGGTCTTTTCTGACGGAACTGTAGGTTATGTCAATGATCGTAGAGTGACCTTGAGATGCTTTTGAGTTTCTAACATTCCTAAGATTCTGTGCCGGTTTTGAAGTTTCTTCGAGTTTGAAAAGTTAATGTCTTATGGCTTGTATGTTTGGGAGACTACCCTGGTTGTGGTGTCTGGCAGTTTTGTTGTGAAATTCTTGAGTTTTACCGTAACAAATATTTCAGTTTTTTTTTACTGTGATAGATTGTAGATGGTTTTCTGAACGATGATTTAATGGACGATTTTCACAAGAGTTTCTGACAAGTGACATTTTTTAAAATAATTTTTACGATGTTTTTGGAACTGACAATGAGTCCTGGTAATTGAAGTTGAGGGCCTCATTTTGCTAAATCGGTTTTGGGATTTCTGGGCTTTTAGGATTTCTAACAATTTTCTCGTCAGATTCAACATCTGCGTTGAAGCTGAACGATCATCCTAATCAGTTTCTTGTGTCGTCGGGCGGCCAAGTTATTAAAGCTTTGAGATGATTGAGTAACTTAGCAATACCTCAAAGTTTTTCTGAATGGTTACCTCCGCAGAGGAGGCCGAGCGGTGAGCGAATAGTTTTTTCTGCAATACAGCCCCCGGGCAGCGGAGGCTGAGCGGCGAGCGAATATTTTCCGAGCAGCGAGCAAAATTTTGCTAGTATTTTTGCAGGCAATTGAGTAACTTTTTGAAGTGCAGCCCCCTGCAGCGGAGGCCGAGAGACGAGTTAGTAAATTTCTGAAGTGCAGCCCCCCCCCCCCCTCCCCCATCTCCAGAGCGGAGGCCGAGCGGCGAGCGAGTAACTTTTTTAAGTGCAGTCCCCCCTCCGGCAACGGAGGCCGAGCGACGAGCGAATATCTTCCGAGCGGTGAAGAATATTTGCTGGGAGCCAATTTTATTTTTGGGGAGCGGAGCGTATATTTTCCGAGCGAGGCCTAAGGCTCTTCCTCCCCCCCTCCCCCTCAAGCGGGAGCTGACCCTTCCTACCCCAAAGCGGCGACCCCGACGACAGTTCCACCTGCCCTCCTACAAGTCGCAGCGGTCCGGGGTCACCACCGAACGTTGCTCAGGAGCGACAATTGCACTTGCGACAGTGCCCCTACAAAGGCAGCGGCGACTTCATCCCTCCTTTCAATTTCGCCCAGTTTTTTCCTATAACCGACACGCAAGTCACAGGAGCGTCGACCAAATCTCCTTTTTTGATCACAGTCACATTCAAACGTGGTCAGAGTGTACCTCAGTTGAGTGAACGAGGTCGGGTTGACGTGGTAGACGTCAGACGTGGTCAAGGCTCACAAGATCGTGGTTTCTGTGAACGTGGTTAGTGCGTCCAGACACAGACGTTGACGATACTCACGGTGACGGTACAGGTTGCGGGCGACGGTGGCCATGAACGACGTCAGTCGTGGGTGACGAAATTCCAGTCGCGGGCAACGTAGTCTCGGGTGACGGATATTTCAGTCGCGGGTGACGTGGTCAGAAGCGATGCTAGTCGCGGATGACAGAGTTCCAGTCGCAGGCGACGGTAGTCACGGGTGACGGTGGTCACGGGCGACAAGAGTCGCGGGTGACAGATATAGTCGCGGGCGATAGTGGTTGCAACAAGAATTTGCCCACAGGCGGGCAGTGCCAACCATACCAGTTTGTTGCCCTCAAGATTCCAATCCTCAAAAGATTCCATCATATTTGGAGAATATTCCGTTTGTGCATATTTAGTTCTAGCTACTCTTTGCCGGCATATAGGCAAATTGGGTATCGTTCAAAAGCTCTTGAGGCGACTAGTGCATCTTGATCATTTTCAGTAGCTGAAATTGCATCTAAAAGACGAAATTGAAGCAGCAGCAAACGATGTCTCTAGTTTTCGTCGAACTAACATGACATCCTCTTGATGGTTGATCTGATTACCTGCTTTGGAAAAAGCAGGTGAAAGGCAAGTTGAAATCTATGGGTCTCGCAAATGTGCTTAAAGACAAACCAATGCACATTATCGACATTGATTGGAAGTATTCACAAGAGCAAGCACTCTACAATGTGATGGGTTATCTAGATCCTTCGGTTATGAAGCAAGTTAAGGAGTATCCTGAGGTTACACAGCTTTTTGATGCCCTCCAGAGACGGTTTCATCAGAAGGATTTCTTCCATGTGATGAACACCTACATGAGGCTATTGAATTTCAGGATGAAGCCGGTATTGAGAATTTAGAATCACATTCACGCCTACGGAGATTTGTTGGTAGATCTTCAAAGTATGG